TAGACACATGAACGTTAACCACCATAAAAATCATATAACTATTTATTTCTACTTTGAGACATTTCACAAGTTAACATCGAAACAACCTCTAATATTTAAACCCAAGCACTACAAAATATTTAAAAATGCCCTATGTTTAGACCAATGAATTAGATTACAAATCCAATCAGATTACTTTTTTTATCACGGCTATCATACATGTACAACTTGTATCATTCAAGGATGTTGTACTACTATCAACAACTACAGTGTATGAATTTTATGACTCAGTGTAAAATTACTGATGTTCATTGCTGACTAATAACAAATTAAAAAGAAACGTCTTGCCAAAGTCTCCCTGATTATTAGTCATTCATCAATCCAGACATCATTTTATAGAATATACCAATAACTCCATCTGAACGAATAACATTTCTGCCCATATCTAGCGATGAATGAAATTTCAGCATTATTCGTTTCCGTTCCATAAATATACTTATTCTATTAAAAATGATGTTTATATATATAATAGGGTTAAACGTTTTGTATTTATTACTATTGCCTTGATTACGAACTGATCAAAGTTGTTCTAATTCGTGATCTCAATAAAATTCAGCAATTTCCACAACCCTATGCTGATGGATATACTAATAGTCATCAAACGATTTAGTGCATACAATATCAAGAAGAAAAGCGTCATTGATACACCACATATCAAAATCGATACATTGATGATTAAAAAGCATTCTGTCTTTGAAAAAACGTAGTTTAAAAATCCATTCAAATGTATTTTATTCTATAGAAAGTTATTAACAGTTCATACACTAGAAATAAAACTAAGATCCAGTTACAAGAAGGATTAGGTTTCAAATCACCAATATGATTATGAAATATTAGACTTGAAATTGTTGGTCAACAAGTCCTGGATCCATATTATTGATGAGCTTCAAGCTACAGTGAAAGCGTAGATCAAAAGTGTACAAGGTTTTAGCTACTTTTAAGTTTATTCTTGCAGATATACTACACTACATTGAAATTAGCGCGTTATTCATTTTATTTACTAGTAACCCTCTATCAGGTAAGTGACTCCAACTTATAGGATCTAGAATTATCCACGAAATCCCCTATACTAGCATGTTTAGCTACGGTTAAAATTTGGATCTGTGGATTTCTCACTGCTTGTAAGCTAAATAAGAAATGTTTTATTAGTTGTTAGTTATAAAACTATGCTTATAGTTATTATCGAATGGCTTAATCGAAATATCTCTTACTGTAACACTGAGTAACGCTAGTCGGTATCCACAGGAGGTGCGATTTCGTCCATAATTAGAGATGAGACAACTTGATGAGTACTAACTAGAGCGAAATAACCTGTTAGAGAAAACATTGTATCTAACATGAATGAGGTTGAATTTTTCCACAAACTCTAAACTTTATGCTTGACCTTGATCCTAAAGTCAGTTAAAGTCCATGTCAACTTGAGATAAGGGCTAATTGTGACAAAATGACACCTCTCTTCTTTAAAGTTAAAAATCATAAAACTGATAAAACTATCTTAATTAACTTGAAATATGGCTGCAGAATTATCTTTGTTTAATACAGAAGACTTTAAAAACCTTTTAATAATAAGCTCATAATATCAAGCTGGAATTATTTGTAACTTATTTCCACAAATCTAATGGTACATTATCGATCTTACCACATTAATAACATTTCCTAGTTTTCATAATTCCTAATTCTTAAACTAGTTTTAGCTAAACCACCATCGAAAACCTGGAGACATTTGACATATGTTTCGTCCTAGTCTAAAGCTCTTCAGCACTGAGCATTCCAGGACTCGAACCTAGGAACTTCGCTCTTGTTCCTAATGTCATCTTAAAACAACCATATATTGGCATTTATTCATAGTTAACTCAAAATTAACCAATAATTTTGATTTGATTTTATGAAATCGCTTTCAAAATAATAATTAAAAAAATTAATCCTTTTTAACATTGATTGTCAATGTAATTTGATTTAAACCGGAAATGGTCGACATCAATATATTTGTTTCACAAAAACAAGTATGTATAGATAGATAAACAATTGAATATATAATTAAGCAAGGATAAATTAATCGTTTCTTTGTACTAGCACTACAACTAATGAGACTACTTCTACTACTACTAATACTACCGCTACTACTACTTCTACTACTACTAATACTACCGCTACTACTACTTCTACTACTACTACTACTACTACTACTACTATTACTACTACTACTGATATCACAAATGGTAACATAATTTATCTTCATGATATATTATGTAACTTTTATTATGACTGTATTACTCAACCATTTAATTAACATATATATATATATATATATATATATATATATATATATATATATATATATATATATATATATATATATATATATTCGTATAAAGTTGATTCTGAAAGATAAATTAACTTAATACGAGAACTAATTTACATGGTAATTTCATTTCAGTAGTATCTAATCTTGATTATAATAGAAAATTACATAATAATTTTTTTATAAAAGAAAGAGGTAACAATTTAATTATTGTAGACATTGTGATGAAATAAACTGATTAAATGAAGCAAAATATTTTTTTCAAACAAACAACGATCTATATGCCAAATACAAATCGATAACACAATTCTAATCGGATACACTTTACTACTACTACTACTACTATTACTACTACTTAATAAAGTTGTAATGTAGATTAAACATGTTTAACAAAAATATCAATATAGATAGCTTGGTAAACGATAAATGTAATTCACTTATTGAACACTATGAATAATATATACATATTAAATTAATTACGTAACAGTGTAATAGTAGTCACTCAAGAGTTGTTGTTGTTACAATAGAAAACGTAAAAGAACATAAAGATGTGAATTGAAATTGGAAGAAAATAAAATGAGAAAAATGTAAACGAAAGTAGAGAAATGAAAAAATTTTTAAAGATTTTTGTTTGTAAACTTTCTAGACACAAATTAAATAGGAACATGTTGTGGAACATGTAGGTTAAAACAGCTATCAACCAATATCAAATTGAGAATTTTTAATACGAATGTCAAGACAGTGAGTTCTATTGTAAGGAGCTAAAATGCGGAGAACTATCACAACCATCATCAAAAACGCACAACTATTCATAAACAGTTGTCTACACAACATACTCAACATACGTTCGACGGATTCTATCAGTAACAACCTTATATGGAAGAGAACAAACCAGTTTCCAGATGAAAGAGAAGTTAGGAGAAAATGCTGAAAGTGGATAGGTCATACATTGAGCTAATCATCAAACTACATCACAAGGCAAATGCTAAGGTGAAGTCCTAAAAGGAAACGGAAAACAAGAAGAACAAGGAACGCACTACGTCGAAAAATGGAAGTAAACATGAAAAGGATGAATAGAAAATGGAAAGAACTATAATGTACTGCCCACGACAAATTTGATGTGAAATGCTGATGAGCGGCCTATGCTCCTCCACCAGGCGTAACGAGCGTAAGTAAAGTAAAGTAAGTAAGTATGTTGTGGAATCAATGTATAATAATGATAAAAATAAACGGAGTTAGTTAAAATTTAAAAATCAAGGAGTAAAACATAAATTTCAAAAGACAAACTTCATCAAAGTACACTGTCTAACAATGTTATTAAAGTATGGATTATTTTTTAAGAGAATTTAATTAGATAAAGAAATGTTGTGGAGATTAGTTTAATTCACTGATGATATTTATCACGTTCATCTACGAACCCTTAGCCTTCAGACTATTCACTCAAAATTCAACGTATAAATATATATACTATTATTATTATCAGAGATGTACGACTGCCGAATTTTCCGAAATAGTACTACTTAAATGGTAGAGTCACATAATACTATAATGAATTCGTAAGTAAAATAATAATAATAATACTGCTAGGTCCTGAGTTCGAATCATGCGGAGCAAGGTCGTGGATGCGCACTGATGAGGAGTCACACAATAGGACGAAACGGACGTCCAGTGCTTCCAGGTTTTTTATGGTGGTCTAGCTTCAATTAACTCATGATCTCAACTGTTGAAATTACTACAATCTCCACAAAACCCCTTCTGATAATATTCTATATGTTTATGAAATTGTTAGATTATTATTTAGTACTACCAATTTACTGATGCTAAATTATTATTGAAAAAAACAAAAACAAACAACATAAAGTTGTATAGAAACATGACTAGAAACTAACTGGGAAGAATGATATTAATCTTCGTTTTATTTACTATTTTCTAAATCTTTACATGAGAGTTTACACTCTAGTAAATATTTTGATTCTTTCATTAAAACTTCCTTGACCCTATTGTCTATTATGATATACAAACTTATACTGACATATCACAAACTGAATAAAAACAAAACAACATCGAATGTTAAATGAATAGTTTATATCATCAAACATCTTCACAGTCTGACAGTTCTTCAATGATAAACACATCATCTATGTTTGCAATGAAGAGGTTTGTTGTTGTTAATTTATTTACTGTAAGTTCTCTTCTATATATTCCAACGACTCAGTTAGATGATCACTATGATTTTGGTAGAAAATGTCTTCTTTTTAAAAAAAGATATAAGAGCTTTATATTAAGGTGTTACAGTGTTTAAAGGTATATCGTGTAAACAATAGAAGGTGTGAAACTTGAATAATTTACATAACAATAATCATAATACGGTAGCTTCAATACTGTATGATATTTAAAATGTATATACAAATTTTAAATAATTCACCTATACAATTATTTACACTTCACTACGTATACGTTTAAGTTTGATTTTTTGTTTACTAAACAAGTTAACTGAATAGTCTCTATGGTCTATAATTACATCTTAGTTGTCATAACATATAATAAGTCGCTTCACTGTAAAACACACAATTAATAACAACAATAGTATCAATAATAATAATAATAATAATAATAATAATAGTAATCATTATAATCATGAATGTATATCATAACATACTTGTAAATGTTTTTCCAATAAAATAGCCGCTACAACAAATACATTCCCAATTACTGTGCATAATATTAATAAACTTAATATAATAATTGTTATCCATAAACGTTCCAATCCAAAACGTGCATGAAATTCAAAATATGAACGTATAATTGTTAAATTATTCACAGTACTAATATTATTCATTTCTTTTTTCTTTTCTTTTCTTTATTTTTTGTTGTTGTTATTGGTGGTGTTCTTTTTACAAAATTTTCCCAAATTATTATTTATTCATTCATTAAAGTATATAATTCTCCAATATAAAGTGATATGTATATATGTTTTATTCATATTTTTCCCTTATATATATATATTGATATATATATATAATGTCCAAACATAATAATGAACATGTTTTGCACAATTCTACATACTTTCTCTTTCTTCTTTTTCTTTTTGTTTTTCTTTTTCTCGTTTTTTGGTTATTTTATCAAGCACCAAAATATTTAAAGAATAAAATAATTAAAATATACATTGAATCAGATCATTTTATTTATTTATTTATTTTGGGGAATAATTATTTAAAAAATGAAGTTGATAATTGTAAATATTTTATTTTTAATTTATATTAACCAATCAGATAAAGAGTTCTGTCTAACTGATTTCTGATTGGTTAAAGAAAATGTAATCGGTAAATTATGGTAAATATTTTTTTTGTTTGTTATATGGTGTAAAATATCGAATCGAAATATACGGAAATAGATTTTGTATTTTGTTAACTGTTTTGTTTTTGATTTTATTTTGAAAGGCAAAATGATTGGATCACAATTTTTTTTTGTAAAGTGTATTTTTTAATAGGTTTTTCTTCAAAGTTTTATAAACTATAGAGAAAATAATGTGTCAATAGTACTTACTTAGCATAGGCCTCCCACCAATACTCTCCATCCAACTTTGTCCTGGGCAATCCTTTCTAGTTGCTATTCATCCTTTTCATATTGGATTCAATTTTCCGACGTGACGTATTCTTTAACCTTCCTCTTTTCCATTTCCTTTCAGGATTTCAAGTTAGCGCCTGTCTGAAGATGTAGTTTGATGATTAGCTCAATGTATGGCCTATCCATTTCCAACGTCTTTTCCCGATTCCTCCTTCAGCTGGAAACCCAGGACCTATCAGTATTATTATTTTACTTACGAATTTATCAGAGTATTATGTGACTCTACTATTTAAGTAGTACTATTTCGGAAAATTCGGCAGCCTTACATCTTTTCTAATAAGTATAATAGTATATATATATATATATATATATATGCTGTGTAGACAACTGTTTATAAATAGTTGTGCATTTTTGATGATGGTTGTGATAGTTCTCTACATTTTAGCTCCTTACAATAAAACTCACTGTCTTGATATAATGGATTATATCGAATGACTACACTATGAAAGAATATGTTCAAATGATTTGACTTTGAAACTGCTGTTAATTAGAACATATTTCACCTGCAGTCTCAATAGTATCTACAGTCATTTTATAACGACTGGGCTTAACATTGAAATATTTACCAAATGTAAACAGTGTATTCTACTAGTGATTCATTTAGGTAAATCAGAATAATTGTTCATAACTTTTATCTCATAGTAATAAACCAGAAAAATAGAAGAAGCGTAATTTACTTTTCAATTAGCTTATATTGATCCCTCTGTCAAATTGATAATGATGACAGTTCCATATGTACAGTAGCATTTAACTCGATTTTTGACTCAGCTATAATTTTATCATCGTTGACTATGAATATTAAACAACAGAGAGTGGAGTAATACAATCAAATGTTTTACTAATATACTTTATTCAACTTTATAGGTGTCAGCTAACGTTTATAATTATTTATTATCGTTGAATAGATATTTATTCTAGCATTCGATATCATAACCAGTTACATAGAGAGTTACTTGGCTAACAAATTTATCTATGTAAGGATGTTAAAAGAATAAAACAAATGTTAAAACATTCTTTACAATATACTGAATAATGCTTTGATACAATTATTTGGCATTCATGGAACAGTATAGTCTTTACTGCAGCATTCTATTATATAAGAGTTGAGAAAACGAAAAGTTAATGTCCGGTGCTTTAACCTGGTTGGTGGAGATGGGAAAGTCTGATTCCAAACCAATGGTGTACATAGGTTCCAGGATCCTTAGGAAACAAATGGTGTATAAGCCAATCGTTGGCCACCGGGACTGCATCTTCTGACGTGGCTCTACTGCCTTGTGGATTAGAACTTTCGGTCGAAAGCTCCGGGTATGACCCACTACGAAAACCATGTGCTTCGGTTTGATCACCTGGCCAGTATCACAGCTTACACACAAATCAGGTGACTTGTGTGACTTATGTATTCAGTACCCCTTTGTACCAATATTTGTGCGTTCAAATAAATATAATGAATAAATAAACGACTTATTTGTTTTTTTATATGAGTGTACGTAATGACGGAAATTACACTGTCTCTAACGATTTTTTCACACCTTTCTGCTGACAGTTTAATTGTATTTCTGTCTCTAATACTTTCCTTGGTTAATTTACTAACTTGAAGTGTATAAAGTTTAAAATATCATTGTGTATTCACTTTCAATCAGTGACAAATTAAACACTGACATAAAGGTCACTACGATCAATAATATTTACTTGATATATACATATATCAACAATGAACAAATCCCTTTTACTGACGTAGGTCAAATGTACAACTTGACTTTTTTTTAAAACTATATATCTTTCAAATAGTATACAATGTATATTTGTTTCTAGGAGTTAAAAAATATCATTCCTTGGAAACGAGGTCGAAATTGTTTATAAATAAATTACCATTGAAGTTAGTTGAGTATTTGAATTTGAAGACGGTTTTGTCAGTATAGTTTAATATATCTCAATAAATCAATTTAAAATTGATCTAATGATCTACAATTACTAAACACTGATAACTTGAGAGTGATTTTCCTAAAAGTTAAGTGAATAATAGTTATGTTTAGAAGGAGATAAATCAGGCATCAAACTGACTGATTAATGCTAACACTGAAAAATAAATATAGAGATCACAAACCTTTCACTATCATGAAAAAAAAAACACAACAACGAATGTATACATGTAAGTCAGGTAGAGTTCAAATAAGCGAATTCACTGTTCACTTCTTAAAGCTATGATAATAGATAGAGTCTCTACTGTTAACACAAATCAGATTTGTTAAATCAACGGAAATCGATCAATCTTAATATTATACAAACACAGACTAAAACTTATTACAATTTAAATTGTTAGTTGGAGACTATCAAAAGGATTTGAGTTTCATGTTATTTGGAACTAGTCAGCAAGTTGTACCTGTAGTGATACTCTACGGTAGATTTGCTACGATTGAAGCTATCGTGAGTTCACTTAAACTGCGAACGAGAACAAGACTCGTTGACCAAAGACCAGTAAGCTAGCTATTGATGCGTCCCAGCCCCGCTAACTAGAGGAAGAAGTCCAAGCTTGTAATGGGGAAGTATATTCTGAAAAACAGCCAGAAACGAGCGGTCACAAAAATCACAATTCAAAACGTATATATACAGTGCAAAACCGTCCTCGAGGAGAATTACAAAATAACATACTAAAAGACTCAACGGACCAATAGCATTTAAGATATTTCTTAGTGGGAAATACGACATGAAGGTGACAAGAGCGCCTTTGGCGCGAAGACAAAAAAATTCAAGTTTTCTAAATAGAATTACAAAATTAGGTCCTTTCCCAGGTGAGTTCTGGGGATCTAACGTCCCCAACAAAATTCAATTTCATATTACCGAACTTCGCGGTTAAAAGAAACTACCATCGAGCTATTCAAGTTGTGATTGACTTCCTTTAACACTGAACTGTAATTACAATTAATTACTGAGTGTTTAGTGATAAGTCAATTATAATTACAATTTCTTTTTTATAACAAAAACACTATCCTCCAGTTTTTAATGTATCTACTTCATGTCATTTTAAAATGCTATTTGATAATATAAAGAAGTTCCCTGATTCTTATATCTAATTTAAGTATAACTTAATAGGACTCTCATGAGAATCTTTTTTTTCTCTATTGAAGCTAATAGCCATTAAAACCATTAAAAATATGTTATCTCTTTTTTCGAGCCAAAACATTCGAGAAATTCTAAATTCTACAGTAAATCCAATAGTGAATTGGCGGCATGTTTGAGTATCTAGGCTACCTTTTCCTATCATCTAGATATTGCAACAAGTTGTTTTTATTAGTTTTAACACACCATTATGTTTGTTAATCAGGTGAACTATTCAGATACCTGTATGAAAAATTTACGACCTTTCGCTATATAAGTTACAAAACAGGTACAGTCAGAGACATCGTAGTTGCTGGCAATATGCATTGAAAAGAATATACATTATTCGGATATTGAATCCTGAAACGCGAACTTCTGACTCATAACCATTCAAAATACATCGTCAGAATAGACCAATAAGTTAGAAACTTGCTGAGATACTTTGTGCTGAGAGTTCTATATTGTACCAAGAATATATATAAAGCCAATAATAATAAGAAGTAATAATAATAATAGTTTCGATCTTCAACAATAATCAGTATGACCAAGTAAGAAATTCGTGAAAAGAATGCCAATTTCATATGATTTCATTGTTAATGTGAATAAAGGATAAATGAAAGATCTTTAAAATGCCAAGTCTTAATTCTCACAATGTAATTTTTTTTTAAATTAACATCTTAAAACTTGTCTGGTATTCTTCAATAAATGAAATGCACAATAACTAGAGAAAGTCGAATATTGAACATTTATTAATAGAAGTGATTCGATAACTGAATAAAGTAATAACTCGATACTAATCATTAAACAGCTATTTATTATTTGACTATAATCATGTAGGTTTTTAGAAGCTGGTTTATTCTTTAGGTAATGATCTTACAGACTGACATCACTTAAGGTATCATAAAAGTCAGAGTACAAGGAACACGCGTCTCGCCTTTATATTAAACCTTCACAACTGACTCGAATGGTTAAACATACATAATTAAACAATCAGTGAGTGCAACAAAGAGTTCGATTTGAAAATGATAGCTGTTGTTAATGAAAAAAATCTGAATGAATGGACATTGTCTAGAGTAAAAACTTCTTTTAATATTTCCTACTACATCATTGTTCCATATGAACTGTCACTACTCAAATTATCACTAATTATATCAAATAAAGAAGAAATTAGATAAAGACACTAGAGGTTGGTAAGACATACATTGCAGAAATCATCGAATTGGATCACAAAGCAAACTCTGATTTGGAATCCTCAAGACGAATGAAAAAGATTCAGACCAAAGAATACACTACGCCAAGAATAGGAGACAAACATCAAATAAATGAATAACACTTGGCAGCAGCTAGAAAACTGAATCCAGGACATAATACGTTGGAGATTGCTGATCGGCGGCATATGCTCCACTAGAGGTAACAAGCTCACGTAAGTAAGTAATAC